TTGCTCGATAAGCAGAGATACGTCGGCCGGCGTATTCTGAGTGTTCCATGGCCTCGCCATAGATCTCGGACAGAGGAAAGAAAAGGAGCGAACGCAGAGTAGAAACGAGTGGGGGTATTGAAGCCGGCAAAATAATTTAAATTTATGGGAGAAAATATTTTTTGTGGCATTTACTTACATTCCACATAATTTTTATATTTACATAAATGCCACTAAAATTTTAGGCTTTACATAAAAAATGTAACTATTACATAAAAAATGTAACTATTACTAAATTTTTAAGAGTGAAATACACTTTTCATTCATGAGCTTTAGCCCCATTGTGTTAAAAAGTAAATATCAAACTTTAGTGGTTCCACGTGTAAATACATAAGAATTATGTGGTACTACGTAAATTTTCAAATTTATTTTTAGTTGAACTCTAGAATGAGAGGGGTGCATTTGTGTGTAATATTTGAGTACTTGAGAGAATTCAAAGGTTTTAATTCTACTTTTACACAAAAGTATGAGTATAAATCCGTAAATTGCCCGAGGATGTCCAGTCCCCAAACGGTGAAAGGCCAGAGGCTGCTAATCGATTGAAGCATTTGTGTCGACTAAGGTTAAAATAGTGTGCACTTCTGATATTTTTCGCATCTCCTAAAGAACAATATGTGTTTCAATAATGTCGGCTAGAAGTAGCATTGTTTTTGTGCTCTGTGTGCTAAAGTTTTTCTTCTAGAATGGCTTTTGCACTCCACATAGTGTATCTCTCGGAGAACATCTTCTGTCTTGTTTTCTCTCAACCACTTCAAGTATAGTGAAATAACTGACCTTTGGAAAAGCTTCCCTTCAATGGGGAAAAATTCTGCGGCCTTGATCTTGAACCTCCTTGTGTTGTCAACATGTAATATCTTTCTGATTTTTGGGATATTAAATAAGTAACTATCCAAGTTGTTTAGTCCTTCGTTCTCCTATTATATTGTCTTTAGTTCTTCAATGATCGGTCGGATTTAATCCTCAAGGTATCCCCTTCTCTATGCGGATAGGTGGTCGGCTACTTAGTTCTCCTCGTGAGCAATGTGACGATTTTAAAGACTTCAAACTTCCCGATCTATATTTTTTTCTTTATTCGGGAATTTGGTCCTCATGTCATCTGAGATTTCGAGTTCACCATTTACTTAGTTTACCACTATATGTGAGTCAAATTTGCTAGGAGATGCTGAGCAACCATCCCACAGGCAAAGTGCAGCCTGTCAGTACACACATCATCCACTTAACGTTTGTTTTTGGCACCAATCATTATTTTTGATAACCGGGTTGAATATTACACCTATTAAAAATATTTGGCCTTCAACTATTTCTATACCTCCTCCCGAATCGGTTCGAGCAAGGTGATAGTTGAAGACCACATTTCTGCTTCATCGGCCGAGCAACATGATTGATGTTCAATCGATGACATGCTGCATCGACAGATATCACTAGCATTTTAGTTGCCTACTATCAATCACCATGCGAAGAGCTCCTGTTGAAAGAATGATACTAGGTTAATAGAAAAAAAGCGAATCACTGTAATTCGACTGATAACTCATCCCTTGACGAGGAAGTCCTTTAGGATGCTTTGTGGATTTTGTTATGGCCAGTTCTAGGCCCCAAATTAGAAATCCTAAGGGTGTATGTGAGATGGTTGGCAATACTGAACTTTTTCCTCAAGTCAACACTTCTGCCCGACTCAATTGGCCTTAGTTATTGGTTTAGATAGCCTGCATCTAATTCACCTCCAACCCCACTTTAAAAGGGTTGCATTTGATCAAGTGGGCTGCTTGGTCTTCCGCCAGCATACCCACTTTAACAATACCTCTTCGACTCTTTGCCCATTAGATCTCTTTTAGGTTTGTGCTGATGCGTTTCTCACGCACCTTAGTGATTTATCAATATTTAAACATGGCATCTAAATTTTTATTTTCACTCATGCAACATGTAAAACTTCGAACCATATTAAATTGCCATGCATATTAACACCTTTAATGTGAAATAATTTTTTATTAATAAAACTAAGACACTAAAAGTATTATAAATATAAAATTGAATGTCAGTTTTGTAAATACATAAAAACTCCCCCTTTTGAGTGATAAACTCCCTAAGCTTAATGTTTTTAGTCTAGTTTTATAATTTTTTTTTATTTTCATAATTTTAATAAAATATATTTGATGAACATTTTTAAATTCTAAAATTAAATTAATAATGAAAAAAAAAACATTAAACAAATTGAGACATTTCTAACATCTTATATATAAAACAATCAAAAAAGCAACTTGAAGATTGCGTTGGAGAACCTGCAATCACATATTGACAGAAACCAGTTTCACAAATTACTCTTAAATTCATTCAAATAATAAAGCAAAGAGGTACAAAATCAAAACGTCAAACTTTAAAGAATCCACAAAAGTTCATAACACCGACCAAAACTACAATTTTTCTAACGGTTGGTAGACACTCAACTTAATCCTGCAATAATGGGAACAGAATCAGCCATTAATTCTTCAAAAGCCTCACTTTGAAGCACTCTTCTTTAGCTTTGAAAGCTCACGTCGGATGGAATCTCCTCTCTGTAAATAAAAACAAAAAAATAAATAATAAAATGAAGATTTTTGTGAGCCATGAGTGGCAACCACAAATAGTTACGGATAGGGGTGTAAAGGAGAAAGTCCAGCTCGAGACACCCATGGCCTGAGCTTGAGCTTGAGCTTGATTAATTCTATCAAGTTCCAGTTTGAGCTCGAGCTTAAATCTACGAGTTCAAACCTGACTCGCGAGCCGGTTTATTTATATAAAAGAGAAAAAAATATTAATTTAGGATAGTATTACAATAAAATGACAAACAAAATAAGCAATTCCAAGAGAAATAATAATAAATTACTTGATAAAAATATTTTTAATACTTTAAAGATAAAGTCTTCAAATTTAATATATTTTGAGTATATTTTATATATTTATATATTTTTTAAAACGAGCAAGCTGACGAGCTCAAATCAAGATCGAATACTCCTGAAACTGACCTTAATTTTAGCCAACATGACCTTAAATCTATCAAAATCATTCAGTTCAGCTCTCCTCTTTTGCACAATCAGCTTCCTCCCCCAAGAGCTCTTCTCCCATCTATTCTTCACATCTGCAATAGAAACTACTCGTATAAGCCCATATCTTGAAGGAAAAAAAAGATAACCGAAAAATGTCGACAATGAATTGTTTGGATTGTAAGAAAACAAAAGAAATAAAATAAAATATCAAAATTATAAATTGAACTATTCAATCTTTAATTTTATTGGGAGCATTTACATACATGCCATGCAATTCCTATGTATTTACATATTGAATATCCAATCTTTGCTTTTTTACATACATTTCAGCCAAATCTTTCCTATCATATAAAAAAATACCACTATTTTAACTTCTAAAAAGTGAAATACATATTTTCATCATGCACAGGTAAGGCGGCAGATGTGTAAAGATTAGTTTAGGGGTTGAATGTGTTAATGCATAGAAATTAAGTGGTGTGTATGTAAATATTTCTTTTGTAGGGAGATTACATACATACCATCCAATTCCTATGGATTTACATATCTAACATCCAAACTTTGCTTTTTGAGATACAATCCCACCTAAATATTTCATATCTTATATTAACAACACTGTTTTAACTTTTAAAAAGTGAAATACATATTTACATGCATAAGTAAGGTGACATGTTCATAAAAATTAAAATTTGGGTGTTAGATACATAATATTTAGATGAAAATTTTCCTTATTTTTTCTCATTTATTTTCACTAAAATCCCATGAATCAAAACAAAGACTCGAAAGGTTTTCAATGGTAGCAGACCAGCTGCTTCCATAGCCTCGATCAGTTTGCTCTTCTTGGGAATTCGGGGGATTTCAATCTTGATATCAGTCAGCGACAGCCTTTTGAAGTTCATTTGTCCTCGAACCATGTCAGGAGCATCAACTAAGGCCTGAGATGATAATAGCCAACAAAGAATTATTGATAAAGATTTACATACATACCCTAATCAAAGAATGCAATGAAAATTTATATCATTTATAAATCATCTAGGGTTGTCAAAAAAGCTCTTTGTTCGCAATCAACTCGTGTTCGACTTATTTGTTAAGTAAACGAGCAGAACACAAACAACCTCTTTGTTCGCTCATGCGGGCTTGTTTTAGCTCAAAATAAGAAAATTATATATATTAATTCTATAATAATATATTACATATATTTATATTTACATCTGATCATCACAACTTAACTTCTGTAGTCAAGATGATTTTGCCCTTTCTATTGCAACACCCTAAATCTATTTTTCTAATGGATTTAAACAAGCCAATTTCGAGCAGAAAATGAGCCCAGCCTGAGCTCCTTCAAGCTCAACAAGTTTGCAACCCTAGTTGAACCAATTTAAAGCCGAACACGAGCTAAGCCTGACTCACTCAAGCTTGGATCGTTTACAATCCTAATCTCATCCCTGATAGTAGTATACATATATACATATATAACCAAACTAAACAAAAAGAAGGATACCTACCTAAAAACAAAAGAAAAATTAAAAGTCATTATAAATGAAATAAGAATATCACAAATAGAGATATGAAGGATAACAATATTGATGTAAAATAGATTAATGATATGTTGAGTGCTGTTGAAGTAATTATCAATAAAAACAATATAATAGAATAAGTGCTTATATTCCTCAAATGAAATTAAAAGGTACAAAATAATGGATACAAATATGATAATAAAAGATATGTTTGGTTTTGCAAAAACATGTGACCCATCAATAGGAATAGCACTATGTGAATTCAAAAATAGAACTACAAATCAAATATATAATTTCTTAATTTTAGAAGAAACAATATTTTTTGGGCGTAAGTGCACATGCATGTACAAGAAATACATGTTTCTTACAACAAAATACAAGTTGCACGCAAGTATGAAATATAAATAATTGCATGCTCATGGTGTCCACAATTTTGTAACATTTACATGTTTATGTTGCATGCATCAAGTCAATAGAGTTGAATCAAACAAATCTAGAGTTGAAGCAAATCAGTATCAATTTTGAGTGTATTAAAATTCTAAAAATTATTAAACCAATTTTTAGTTATGAACAAGATCAAAGAATCAACAAATGCAACAATAGCCTTCATAAAACATGGCGAAATATGAAAGCAGGGCGCTAATAATTCTTTTAACATAGATTATTCAAATAAGAAAATTGACATATATGGTTGAACCAAATTTGATGTAAGATATGATAGTAATTGCATTAAAAATATTGCAATAAAAATTTTAGGAAACTGAGAATAAAGCATAAGTAGAATTGGCAATATACCATGAAGGCACAAAAGGTCATTAGGAAGAAAGAATACTTTTACAAAGTAACAAAAATGATTCAAGGAGCTCCTAAATCAATTCCAATTTTAACATAATTTCAGAACAACAATCAGAATAAGAATCAAGATAATGGATGATTTTATTTCTTCTAAAGTCCTTATGGGCTGCAATAAGTTAAAGAGTCATTTGGGATAACTTTTATTTTTATTATTAATTTATTGTGCATATCTTCTAATTTGAAGCATAACAAGTTTGGTAAGTTAAAATAAAATGAGATAGCTTTTTAAAACACTCAAAACATCTAAACAGATGTTTTTGAGTATTTTTAGAAACAAGTTAATTTATTATTGAAAACAAAAATTAAAACACTAAAAAAATATGTTTTTAAAAACAAAAGTAATAAAATGATTTCAAACAAGCCCAACAATTGTTGGACTTAATTTTAAAGTGCATTATTAACATTCAAAGAAGAGGTTGGCAAAAAAATGTAAGTCAAGTTTGAATAAGTCAAACTCACCTCTAAACAATCTGGAAGAAAGAAAACAATGATTACACAAAGCAAGAAGATCAAGATTTTCATCCACTCCGAGCATGGCTATCCAAAGATATGATCTAAGAAGGCTTTAGGACAAGTGAAAAGCTATTTCCATGTGTTTTGGGATTATATAAGATTGAACAGTTATCATACAAGTAAAATCACACATTTGATAAGTTGTCATTTCTATTTTTTTTAGATCTTTCTTTTTTTATTCAATGACTTCATAAGGCTATAAATGGGAGTCCTTAGTATCCTTTTTTTATCATCAATGAAGTGATGCTACTCTCCCAAAATCCTTAGTATCCATTTTAAAAAAGAATATGTTCACAAAGATCTAGGAAGAAGAAGAAGCCATATAAAGAAGGAGTCAACAATGAGGCGGTGACCATCAAAAGCTCCTTATATAAATAATCTCTAATATTTATTTAATTAAGAATCTACACAAGATTGCAATGTTTCAATCTAATTCTTTTTTTTACTTTGGGACGATTGAACTTTACAAGGACCCTTGAGGACTTAAAACCCCTGATATCTTCAAACATTAGCAGATAATTATATCTTTTATCACACTTTTGCTTGGATTATTGATTGGCTTAGTGAGTTAGGATGTAATCCTCTCTTGATTACAATCTAATTGCTTAGATGCGTCCTAAACTCCATATATCATATTAGCCCAAGAACTCCATTATGACATAATCATAAGTCGGATATGAATTAAAAGTAAATATTCTTGATTTACAATGAAAAGAAAATATTTATTGACTCCGAAAAAGCTAGAGCTATAACTTTAATGGTTTATATAACACCCTAGCAACAAGGAAAGAGAAAATTATATTTATAAAATAGTCAACATACCATGAAGGATATTTAATGACTTTCATTGATCTCATCAAAGTATATGATTAAATGGACTAGGAACTAATTTCTATGCATAAAGGAAATGCATATGTAGAAATTATTAAAAATACAAATGACAAAGCATTAACTTGCACTGGAAAAGTTTGTGGAGTGATCAAAGAAACTCCAATTAAAATAAAGATTCTAATTAAAATTTATATAAAGCTAGTATCTACTTTCAGTGGTCATAGTGATACTTGTACAAGATACCCCTAACAAGGCAGTTTGGTGTATGCTATCAATAGAGGATAGCACTAATAGACAAGATGTTTATTAAAATATGAGAATGTTAAAACAATGGAGGAAATGCTTAAAAGCTAAGGAGACTCATGATTAATGCAATATATTTTAGTTATATGATCTATATTTTCAGTTTTTTAAATTACTACAACTAAAACATCAAGTTAAAAACTAGTTGTTATAAGTGGAGTCTATTACACAAAAGAATACAAATAAGAATGCAAATATATGTTCTAGATAAAGGGCTTTCAGAGTTAATGGTGGATTCTGAAATGAAAAATTACCTACAAATTATGTCACAAAATAATAATAATAATAATAATAAAGAGACCTAAAGAGATTATTATTAAATTAAAATTAGAATGATTGGAGCAATGTTTCAAATGTTGACTATCAAGTAATATATAAGTCAGTGGCAGTTTTTAGTGCAATAGAATGAGAATATGATGTACAATTGTACATGTATGGCAAATTTTGAAAACTAAATTAGAAAGGAGATATTGAGATATAAAAGGTGCTAGGAGAGTAGCGCCTATTGAAAGGTAAGTAAAACTCAAGCAAAGTGAAAATATACAAATACAGTAAAGAGTAAAAGGTGCTTCGAAAAACTTAATATGAATAGATTGAAAGGGGAAAAGTGGTAGAACAAACACAACATTGATAGACATAATCTCCATGTAAAATAGGCTTAACACCTAAAATAGCATTCAACATGAATAAACAAAAAATGAGTTCATAAAGCTGACTGCAAATTGTGTTGGAATACTGTTAAAACAAAACCAACATGATATAAATAAATAAGCTCCTTAAATGAATAAATACAATGCAGGTTGATATTTAGATTAATTATTCAAAATCAATCATTTGTGTAGCTTCTAAAATATACACAAACACATTCAGATCATCCAAGCTAAACTATACAAAATTTATAGATATTCAAAATTTTCCATTAATAAATAGAATTCTTAGTGTTATATAACTCACATAACTCATAACAACTAGGTGAGTAAATATTACCTTATCAAAACAAGGAAGGCCTAGTTGAAACAAGTGGGGAAATTACCATAATAATAATTTGCATAACTTAAGCCGGTATGATGATAAAAATATAATGAATAATAATAGTATGATAATCAAAATAGGCTCATGTTTGCATTTCATAATGTAAATCCAACCAAAAGTCGTCTGACTTCAGAAGTAAATGCCGACAAACAAAATGCACACAAATAAACTCTTATAGAACATTTAGGATGGACTATCTGTTGGTACACCTCAACATCATCAAAACCAAAATCTATGAGAGATCACTTTGGATTTTTTTTTGTCATCAAGTAGTTCTAGGGTTCTATATTGAAATGAGTATGTGCGTATTTTCATAAGCATGCATGCTTTTTTATGAAGAAATTAGAATGAGAAGAAGAAAAATTAGGGAGGAGGAAAAATGAGGAAGTATGGTTCTCCTCCAAGGCTTTCTTCCTTTTTTGTTCTCTCCAAAAACTCTCCAAAGCTTAGTTCCTCAATGTCTGTAATGAGCTCACACATTATGCAAGAAAGATAATGGTCTTTCCTCCAAAGAAACTTCAAGTGCAAGAAGAAGATGAAGAAAATGCGAACAAAAAAAAAAAAAGAAAGATGAGGGAGAAGAAGACAATAAATGAAGAAGGACTATGGTTCTCTTCTAGGGTTTTCTCCTTTTCTTTTCGCACCAAGAGATTTCCAAAGCTTATCTCCTCAATGTCTATATTGAGTTCACTCACTTCAGCCCCCAAAAGTTTCAAATGTGCTGAAAACTCAAGTGAAAAGAAACCAAAATCTTTCCTTTATGCTAAGCTTACTTCATCCCACGTTTCCATGTCGATGATCATAGAAAATTATTTTTAATTTATATGGCATGGATACAATTGACCATTTTCTGAGGTGAGGGCTAAGGAGCTTTCTAAGGTACTCTTCGCCATCTTTTCCTAATTAATACGAATTAATTTGGTAAAAAATGTTCACATAAATTAAAACCTGGCCGCTTCCATGCGCCAAACCCTAATTTTGAAAAAAACATGAGTGTGAAAGGGTTTTATGGATCTCTTAGACTATAAGAGGGAATGTATTAATGAAGTATAGTCTACAAACATAACAATGTATATCAATCATGCATGACATCAAAAATTGATGCAAACACCATCCATGCTCTACAACTAGATCAAAATTTCCTAGATGGAGCTAATTCACATTATAATACGCAAACCAGCAATTTCCTGAAGTAGAAGAACATCATAAGTAAAACAAAGAATGCATAAAATCACAATGGCTGTTAAAAGAAAATTGATAATCAGTTAAAGAAAAAAGCTACAGATTTCCATTTCCCAATCCCACCAAAAAAATAATAATAATAAAAGATACGCACTCGATTCTGATCGATGACATCGACAATAACAACAAGTCTCCCATACTCCTTCCCATAGTTGACGAGCGCTACCCTCCCGATCTCCACGTACCTCTGGAAAGGCTACGATTACAAACACAATAACCCACGAATCAGAGAAAAGTAATTCCCCTAAAAACAATAACGAAGTCGCTAACATTGAAGAACGCCAGCCGGCACTCACCATGACGATCTGCTGAAAGACGAACGTCGCACTTCTGCCGCGATCTGCTGGAAGCTCCAGTAGGGTTACTAACGTCGTCGCCGAAGGTCTTATAGTTCGCTTACAGACGTCGCCGCTGAGGTTTTATTCCTGTCCGTCGGATCGAGGAACCGCATTACATACATACCACTAAATTTCTATGTATTCGCATTTTTAGAACTCATAATTTAATTTTTATAAACATGCCACTTTTATAATCTGATGCATAATACTAATTATGAGATCATAAAATCCTTAATTAATAATTAGTAGCTTTTAATAAACACCATTAGGGACTTCATGAGCAGATAAGTTGCTAGAGGGCACAATTGAATTTATTTCATTATTTTGTATGTGCTTAATCTCATATATCTAGAACATATATGTTGCTATTGAGACCATAGTGTTGTTGAAGCATTTGAGCTATACATATTTTAGGTCTTTGTACCATTGGGTTGTTTCTTATATAACAACAACAACAAAGCCTTAATCCCACTGCGTGGTAGGGTCGGCAATATGAATCTTTTTTCTCCATTGCGTCATGTTTAGAGTCATATTTTCATTTAGTTCTAATAAATTGAGATCATTCTTTATACAATAAGCCCATGTCTTTCTGGTTCAACCTTTGGCTTTCTTAACATAATCGAATCTAAAACATCTACTCTCTTAATCGGGATCATCAGACGGTTGACGTTTAATGATGTGTTATGTCATGCGATGTTAGTTGTATGTACATGGGCATAGAGTTACTCTGGTCATTTCATTCATATATCATTCTGGCTCAATTACTCTTATTTTAAACTTCAAGGTTATTATTAATTATTATCATCATCCTAACGGACATGCAAATCATTTCTTAACTAATTTTTTATTTGTTACTATCTTCTTGGTTGATCTAATTCCTTCTCCCCTCTCTCTCGCATTTTCTTGAATTTAATTTAATTATAAGTCACTGAGAAGCTATTGTATTAACTTAGTACTTGTATTAAGATCTTCATGATTTTCTTACAAACAAAATGAAATCTTCAAAATTTTCCCTTCCCCATCATACCACGATCATCTATGTTGACAATCACAACATCATTTATGTTTATCACCTAACTTTTAACTTGCATGTCATCATCATATTGGCTTGGCTAACTCCGCCTCTCTTTCTCCTTTTCGTCAATTTAATATAAAGTTATTATAAAGCTTTGGTATTAACTTAAGCACTTGTATTGTAATACTTTTTCATTTTTTTGAAAATCAACATAATATCTTCAAATTATCCCCTTCCCAGTTATGCCATGAAAACATGTTCTCTCTCTCTCTCTCTCAAATTCACTTTATATTATCTCTTGTTCTAGTCAATATATATTCTTTGCTATTTCAAGTAATATTAATGATTGAATGAAAATCTTATTTTAATTACATTGCTATCTGTTGAGAATAGTGGAGATCTGGTCCATTTAAACATTTAGAAAGTAATTAATATTTACTTAATTTGTTTCCCCAATATTCTCCTACCAAAGCCCTCTCCCTCATGCGGTCCCGCCAAAGCTCTCTCCCTCACACGATTTTCTCATTGGGAATTACCTTTTTAAGCTATTTTGTGCCTCTTATAAATAGCAAGGCAAAAGGTCTGCCAAATACTCTCCAACCAAATTCCAATCTCTTAGTTGTAGCTTGCAAGGGAAAAAAAGAAAAAAAGGCTGTCGTTGTTTTTCTTTGGGTTTGCTAACAGGGAAGAAATTCCTTTAATTTTCTCTCACGTGGCTTGAGAGAGAGAGAGGTGAAGAGAGAAAGAAAGAAAAAAATAGTATTTTTTTTTTTTGTAAACTTCGAGGCGCTTGACGGTGTAATTTCTTCAACTAATAAAATCCTCTGCAGCTCCCTGGACGTATGTCATTTGCCGAACCACGTAAATCTTGTGTCACCTTTTCTGGTGTAATTTTTCTAGATCTGTTTTTTGTTTTATTGTCGTCGTTTTTCATAACAGCTATCCACCCCAAGTGAGATATTTTTGAGCATATGGGTTCATAAAACCTTTAGAGAACTTTCAAAAAGGGAAAATGATCATTACAATAAAAGTTACAATAAAAGACTATTTATAGAGCTTAACTTTAGTTATCTCTTACTCTACTACTGTTGTATTGATAACTACATAATGCTAGTTTTATGAAAAATATTAAATCTATCGATTATAGATAATGTATATTAGAAAAATTGATATTAGATAACATAATATGAGAATTTCTAATCATATGATCTTTTCTATACTTGAAATATTCATACTTTATATAATTCTCTCTTATTTATAGAAATGATTATGAAGAATTTGGAGTGCACGTTGAATTGTAATCCCATATCATCTGAATTTTTCTTTCTCCCACCTGTTAATAGCGAAATAACCTGTATTCATGAATGAACACTGAATTGCACTAAACCACATGAATCACGCTATGTTGGATTGTCTGTTATTTTGTGTGAATTTATTTTTGTGCGGATTAGAAGTTTGTCTTGAAACTGAGAATCATCAAACAATTTATCTTGGAAGAGACGATCATTAAAACCTTTTCATTTTATTAGGGGTAATAATCCAACCTCTAATTACCTTCTCATGTCTTAAAATCTCTCTATCACAATCTAAGGCCCACTAATCCATGAAGAGATGTAGGCCCAAATAGGTTTTGCTTCTGGGCATGCTATCAATTCATACCTCCGAGCCCACTAGCTGGTCCTCGGTCCACAGTTTGATATTTACATTTATAATTGTCATAAAATTTATGTATCTATCAAACTTTGGGTGTTAGATATGTAAATACATAAGAATTGTGTGGTATTAATGTAAATTTCCCTAAAACAAAAAAGAAATGATGTATCCTATATTACTATATTTAAGGAGGTGGAATCATATAATAAATATGCAATATGCAGGAAATAAATCACACAAATAGATATATTAATGATAAGAAATGTTATAATGATTGCTTACATGCATAGCGAAGAATATCACAAGTTATTAAGAGGTAGAAACATTTATATACGTGCGTATGCAAAAAA